TTTTGTAAAATGTGATTTGACAGAATTGAGACACAGCAAGGTGATGTGTTCATTTAGCAGAAGATTAAAGAATAAGCAGACAGGCTCGCAGGCTAAGCTGGAGTCCTATGGCTGCCTCGACTTAGAATCGAGATGCATAAAAGACAAACYAAAATGTTCTAAATTAGCCTGAAGCAGAATGCACAAGCTTCAGTCTTACAAAAGAAATGGAAATCTGTGATCTTTTGTCTTGAATTAGGCTATTTTTAAAGGGTTAGAAAACAGACTTCTGGAGAGTCTTGGTCTTCTGCCTCTGATTCCTGAATGCATAAGATGTAACAATTGCTCTATCCTTCCACCTTCCCTTGGCACTGATAAACTTCTTTCTCCAATAATGCAATCCCCAGAGCTTGTGTTCTGCAAATCTACTGCAATCTGTTTATAAACAGATTTACAAAGTAAATATTTAATTCCAAGATCAGTCTGCTGTCTTGCCTTCCTTACTCAGTCATGTGGTAACACAGACATTGGAGACCGGGGTTGACTACCTGGGGCAATCAGAGGTGAAAGCCCTGGTACTTGGTTAGAGATGCATCATTCAAGGATGAAGATTATGAGCTACTTTGTAGTTCAAATGGGCAAAATCATGGCAGAAGGGAAAAAAAATAGTGAAAAGAAATCAAAGAAAGAGGTGTCATGAAACTGGAAGTAAACACTTGGGGGGAAAAAAAAACCAAAAAAACCAAACCCAGCATATGATTGTTTTCATAGAAAAAGTTGAGAAATTATCTAGTAATAGGAACTAAATATCTGCAAAAATTAAAATGTTTCATGATTCACCAGGAAACCCTAATGGAAGAATCCTARTAAAAACTGCTAGGACAAAACAATAGCAATACCTACACTACCTACAAAAATATTTTCAGTTGGCCATTTCAGCTATGGTTATGTGGCAAAAAAAATTATGCTCAGCACAAACTACAGATCCCAGATAGCACCTTTTTACATATAGGAATCCTGAAAGGTACTTTGTTTGGGAAAACTGCAGAATTATGAGGTGACACATATACATAAATTCTGCAACTTTTCCTAGCTGCAAAAATAACGGAATGATTTTTTATTGCAGTTGAAACACATCCGCCAAAGATCAGACTGGAAAAATAATAATGAGTTTTCTGGGTTTCTCAGCACCAAAAGACAATTTTCTGTTGCTCAATTAAAGGCAGTTTAAGAGACAATCTGTTAGAGAAGTATAAAACATCACTGTGTAGATAGGTAGGGGGCTAAGAACAGTCTAGACCATCGATATGAAAATATCCAGATAACCAAGCATGCAGCGAACAGTTACATTTACATAACCTGAAGTTTGAAATTTTTTTTCTCTCTATTGATCATGAAGCACTCCATTGTACAAGATGCACTTATTAGATGATGATTAGAGCCATGAAAGGTGTGTTAGGATGCACATTAGGAGAAATTTATGAAATGTGTTTGGCTTTGCATCTTCCTTCAGAACAAGTGTAAGAAGGGCAGTGTTTGACAGAATAGTCAGGAAGACAGTAGGAGTCATATCTGCTGACAAAGAAAAGCAGAGATAAGTGATCAAAGAGACTTCAATAGCAGCTGAATAGGACATCACAGAGCTGCAGATCTGAAATAGAAGCAGCAGCTGAAATATTCAGTGTTCAGAAAATATCCAGAGTACATTAGAAACAATCATTGGAAGCCATAGAAAAAAGCCAGGAAGCACTGGGGATTTGGAAGCTGGGAAGGAGATTACTGGAGCTATGTGGAAACTGGGAACTTTGAGGGGAATTTGAAAGCTGTGGGTGGCCAAGATCATGAAGAAAATGCCAAGATATTGAGTGGGTTTAGGACAAAACTTTATGCTTTCTCAGTAGGATTATTCATTTAATAACTTTTTATGTTTTTATACTTGGATAGAACAAGCTTTGGAAGAACCAGATCAGCATTTGAAAACAATAGAATCACAGGTCTCAAAATGCAGAGATAATGTGTTTGGACAGATGTGACTGCAATGCTGTCAGCTGCTGCTATTCCATATAAAGGCCTCTAATATTTGCTGTTTATTCTCCAAGCCAAAGCCTGTGGAGACAAGTGATCAGAAGCAAATATTAGCTGGTTTGTTTTTTATTTTTAAGGGAGATTCTGAGAAAAATCTTGAAATCATGATAAAGAAGTACACTAACAGTTAAAAATGCAAACAACAAAAGTAGCTTGAAATTGTTTTATTTTAAATCCCTGATTTTTTGCGATTGACTATTTTGAGACCAGAGTGATTTGCTAACATCTGATAATTAAATAATGTGACTAAGGGCAAAAATTGCCAATGGACTCTCTTGAAAATTATGACTGTGAAAGGAAGGAATGAATAGCTTGATATTCAGMCTGTATTTCCAGAGATACAATGAGGGATTTGTCCATTCTTCTAGAAGTATAGGGTTTTTTTTTCTCCAACAGTTATCCTCCCATAAAAATATTTTGTAAGTGGAAGGGAAAAAAAATAAAACAATAATACAAAAACTACTAAAGCCCTGAGTTACTCTGACTTTTTTCATGGTGTAACTATTTTTAGTATGGGAATTGTAAAGAGAATCATAAAGCAAGCTGCACGCTACGATTTGCAAAACTGCAGGGCAAAGAAATCAAGATGGGMAAAAAAAAATCAGTTTTATGTAAWTCAGAGTCTCTCAGTACTCCAATTTCTGCCTCTGATATTTAGAAGTCTCTTATTTTTCCTTGGCTCTCACATCATTGCTGGAAGTGCTTCCTGTTGCAGGAACTGATTTACATATGCTTTCTCAGGTTCAGCTGACTTGAAGTTGTTTCAGTTTTTGTCCTGGCTAAATTGACCAATACCAATGAGAAAACAGCATTTTCTTGTTCTTTGCTGATYATTACAGCCTACATCAGGCAATGTGATGATAAAAGGAAGAAAGCAATTTCCTGTTGAGAGTTTTACTTTCTGCTGTTAGGCAGGTACTTCCCTTATCATTTAATCAAGACAGAAGGAGTGTTTTTTTTTTTTTATTTTCTTTAGAAAAGTACAAAGCTTTGAGTGGGGATGGCACTAACTTTTGAATTCTGCTATTTTAGTCTATGACAACCAAAGGAAAGACAATCACACTCAACATGTCAATCACCATTATTTCTTTTGCATGAGAGCCTCCATGACTAGTTTTAGTGATTTAATGATGGCAGTTTCTATATTGTAGCTATGGATAAACTCTAATTAGCTGCTGGGCACAAAATCCTTAATGGGCCAAAAAGAATTATCTGGATATCCCACTAAGCCAGCAAATAAAGGAATATATAATAATTATGAGGACAGGAGTTTTAACTGGATGCATCAGAAAAAGAAAGRAAGATTGGGTCCAGATAATCACCAATTTCATTGTAAGGTTCAGTACTACCGAACATATATTTCAAAAAACTATTGGCAGTCCAAGTTGGTTTTATTTATATCTTTTTTCTGGTCCTGCAGACCATTTCAAAATTTCTGGTGTTGTTGAGTAGACAGKGAAGTATGGTTTTCCTTTATTTATGTTATTTTGAAGTTAAATTGCCCTTTTCTGTCTWGAAATGCTTTTAGTTCTGCTAAACCTGAGGTCATATCAGCAAATTTTCCTTTTCACAGATTTGAAACCTGCAGTCTTAATGCCAGCTGCGATGTCCTGTCACAGAGACAAAAGATTTTAGACAAATCAGTATTAAAAAGCACAACAAAATCAGGATAGTAAGCAAAATTGGAATTGCAAGTAACTCAGAATAAAATGTAGCCTTCAAAAGTAGTCTTTGAAGAAAATGTATKAACTGGAAGAATCACAAGTTTGACTTCAAGATGATTTATGAGGTGCTGACAGTTAAACACACTTCTTTTTCATTGTGTAAAGAGAAAATACGAAGAGGGCAAGTGRGTGAGTGGGCCAAAAAACAGTCTTTGTATGCTGAGGTATCAAATACTGGAATAGATTCTGGAATTATGCTATGATAAGTCAAAATACTTATTTTTCCCATTCTTGTACATAAGCTGCACCCCCTATTTCCATTCYCTCTGCAGCAATGAGATACTTAGAAAGAAGGGTCTGTGATTTGTGCAAGCATCTGGACTGCTGAAAATCAGGAACAATAGCAACCCCCTACTCTCCAACCCGAAAACAGTTGACTAAAACATTCAATTTGGTTTGGATTTTGTTTTTTCTTGAGGAAGTTCCTTACTGGAATTCAGTATTCAGTTGAAAAATTTACTGTGAAACAATGGGACTTATTTAGTCATGAATTACCCTATGGATAGCACATTAATAATCATGTGTTCACGACCACATGAAGCAAACTTCCTTAAGGCAAGGAAACGGCGGTGGTTCTGAAGTCACTTATCCAATGCAATCTATTTATTTGTATGCATACAAGTTCAAACAGCCCTGAAAGCTACGACCTTTTTGTCCTTGTCAATTTTCAGACAGCACTTTGCTCACGAAACTATTTCCACGCAACAATCGACAAAACCGTGCTACTTGAAAATGCGTAGTGTTTCTGTAGGATCGATTGTGGGTTATTCAAGGAYACCTCTGGTAAGTAAAAGCAGTTAGATACCTAACTCTACATACACCTATARCTGTATTCGGCAATTGCTTTTGCAGGTGACGGTGTCACCTGAACCACATATTCCTCAGGCAGCCGAGCCCCTGTGAGGATCTGCCTCTCTCCAAGCGCGGGAGAGACGGGCGGGCAGAGCTCTGGAGGTACAGGAGGGCGGCGGGGGGACACGGAGCGGGAGGACACGGAGCGGGAGGACACGGAGCGGGAGGACACGGAGCGGAGGAGCGGGGACACGGAGAGGAGGAGCGGGAGGCGGTGGCACAGCCCCCCCGATCGCCACCCCGTGGCCACCAAGGCCGCGGGCTCTACCTGTGCCCCGGCTCGCCCCGCCCCGGTCCCTCCCGCTGCTGGCGGCGGGGCGGGCCCGCAGCGCCGCTATTTGACCCCGCGGCGCGCTCCCCGCGCTCCTCCGCCGCTCTCGCCGCAGCCCCGACTCGCCCGCCCGTCCGCGCTCGCCCCCGCCATGCCCAACATCGTGCTCTTCAGCGGCAGCTCCCACCACGACCTGTCCCAGCGGGTGGCGGACCGGCTCGGGCTGGAGCTGGGCAAGGTGGTCACCAAGAAGTTCAGCAACCAGGAGACCAGGTGAGTGCCGGTGCCGCGGCCCACGCCGCGCGTCCGCTCGCCCGCCCCGCTCCCTCACGGGCGCACCCCGGACACACCCCCGCTGCAGCGGCCGATCCCGCCCCGCTGTCACCCCGGCCTGCCGCCGGGTCCCGCTCCCCTGTCACCCGCCCCGCTGTCACCCCGGGCTGCCGCCGGGTCCCGCTCCGCTGTCACCTGCCCCGCTGTCACCCCGGGCTGCCGGCGAGTCCCGCTCCGCTGTCACATACCCCGCTGTCACCCCGGGCTGCCGGCGAGTCCCGCTCCGCTGTCACCTGCCCCGCTGTCACCCCGGGCTGCCGGCGAGTCCCGCTCCGCTGTCACCCCGGGCTGCCGGCGGGTCCCGCTCCGCTGTCACCTGCCCCGCTGTCATCCCGGGCTGCCGGCGAGTCCCGCTCCGCTGTCACCCCGGGCTGCCGGCGGGTCCTTCCAGGGCGCCGGATCCGTTGCGGGACCCGCGGGTGGATGGCTCGGTCAGGTGCAGCCGCGGAGGCGCGGCATGGTCCGGTGTGTCCTGCCCGGCAATCCTTCCTGCTTGTCCCCCCGTCGCTTCCTCCCGCTCCCACAAGCACCGCACCGGAGGTGTCCCGGGTGTCCTGGGCCAGCCCAGCTCGGGAGCGCTCCCRTCGGGAGCTGCTTGGCCGGAGGAGGGCTGGGGCGGCCCCGGCCGAGTGAAGAGCATCCTCCGTCCTGTGAGGTGACAATGGTGTTTGCACAGGCAGCCCGTCAGGTGCATCCCACCGCTCGCAGATAGTTAACTTATCTATCTAAACTTTAAAAAATCATCTTGGTTTTATAAACTACAGTATGTCATGAAGTTTTGTAAGTAGGTCTGCATACAAGCAGGTATAAGAACAGTATGGTAATGATGGATTAGACATTTTAAAAAGGGCCTAGGTCAAATCACACTTGCAGAATTTGTTGCATCTGGTCTTTATTTTGCATTAGCAGCCAGGTWTGTATTGTGGTGGACCAGTTACTGCTTCTGCAGGGAGGACTCCAAGACTGATGGTTGTGCATGAAGGTGATGGATTTGTTGTTATGGCCTTGGCTTACTCCTGAAAGTGCAGTCATAGCACGTTCCTGACCAGTCAAATGCAGGAAGGGGCTTTGGTAACAGTGCAAGAAATGTTATGTGAAACTGTGAGGACAGCTTTCTCACGTGGAGTCTGAGAGTGTACTTGCCAGTGTTTTTTCTGTCAATCTTGCCTTTCTTTACTAGTGTGTTATCTTAGCTTTCAGACATATCTATTTAATTTTTCTCAATTAAAACGAATTGAGGTGACAGTGGTATGTTCATCCCATGGACTGGTAAGACTGTGCAATTGCTTCTCTGGATAGGTGTGTGAGTCTAGGCTGCCAGCTGATTCTGAAACACAAGTTCCTGCTGTAAGTAACTGGCTAGTCGCTGAGGTTCTTGTATGTTTGTTTTCATCTGTTCTTGTTCTCAATCTCCTGAAAAAGCGTGTTTTCATTGCTTCCTTTGAAAGATTAACATGATGTATTCTAAAATTGCTCTCACAAAGCTTGTCCTTCTTTTCCGTCCACATTTTTGGATTCTCAGTGCAGTTGCTCTTGTTCTAGTTATGCTCACTGGCACTACTATAAACCCTCTTCCATCGGTGTTTATGCAATCTAATGTTTGCACACTCTAACTCTTCTATTCATTCCTGATTAAATGAAAGCTTAAATCTTCTCTCAATTCTTTCCAGCCCCATACTCACTTTATTGCTCTTTGATCTCCTTTCTGCATGATAAAACTTAACTTTTGTATTTGGTTGCATGGCTCTCTTGCTAGCTTGTCTAATTTTTTTAATGTTTATTCTCCAGAGACTCTTATCTTAATCTATGCTTGAAACATAGCAAACAGCAGAACAAAATTGATTAAGATTTCATCCAAGGTATAAATTTATCTCCAAAGTTTGTATATTTATTTTATAAGATAAGATAATTAAATTCTAGGCTTCAGGATACAATAATCTCAAGACTGTAATTGCACTTATTTTTTCAGGTATGGAATATTCTCTCTTCCATTAAAAAGGAAGGTATGGTGACTGCAGTATGTCAGTAGTTGGTTAATCTAGTAGTGCCAGTTTATTTTTTATAGGCAAGTAGCAGTGTAGGGTGGTACAGATATGAGGAATGTATTAAGAAAATTGTTTCTGGTGCTTCTGTTGCAACACTGCAAGGTTGACATCTTTTCTTTTTCTTTTATTCCCTGAACTAAAACACCTTAACATTTTAAACCTTTAAATGTTTGGAGTTTGTTTTTTTTTTTTTTTTTTTTTTACAACTTCCTTCTTTTGAGATTCTAATATGAAATTCTTGTTTCCCCTTCAGCAAGATAAGTTGTAGCCACTATATAATATTTCAAGTGGGAATTTTTTTCAATATTCTTARCAACTTATTTCAGGTTGTTGACTTTCCAATTTTCTAGTCTAATGTTCTTAATAAAAGAAACTCCCAGCAATAGCAGTAAGATAGTTAYTCAACAATGTATTTGAAATTAAACTGCAGGTAAAGTTGTTGCTTATGCAGAGGGATCCTTTCCTGAGGCATCTGGATTTTCAGTGTGTCTATCGAGTAAAATTGTGTGTGAATGTAAGCAAAAAATTACTTCTTCCTATATAAAGTGAGTCCTGCAGTCTTTTTTTTTCCTTATTTTTGCTGCATTTTAAAATTTATAAACAAGTGTTATTATGAAATACACTTGCAGTATTGCAGAATACTAGAATCTGGTTGTTACAAAGCACAAAGTACCTTAAACCTTCCAGTGGCACTCCAGCAGTGCCCCCATGCAAACTGATAAACCTGGGCCTGAGGGTCAACAAACTATTGCTTTGTCAGATCTGTTAAGTTAGCAAGTTGCAGAGAAGATCTAGCTTTTGTTTAAAACTCTGTTTTGCTGTTTGCTGCATTCTCTTAAATATAAATGATGCATAAATTGATAACTGTGCAGCCCTAGGCCTAAATCCTTGCAAAAGGTCCTAGCTGGAAGCCTTTCACTTGGGAGTTGTAATTAGTCTGGCTTGCAGAGCAGAGTGAAGGGAAGAGTTACTAAATATTTTGCATTCTGTTTCAAGTTAAACAGGCTTTAGGTTTCAGTCCCAGTTCTCAGCAGTTGTAAGTGGGTTTGAGAAACTGATGCTGAGGTTAGCCAAGCATAGGACAAGCACTGTGACTGAATAGCCAGGTGTGTTTTCAGCTGCAGAACATTTCAAATGGGAAAGGCTTCTTGTTTTTGTCCTTACTGACACTGGTGTATCTAGCAGTATCACAGTTCTCTTCTGATTTTGGCAATCAGTATTCTTTCAGGTTCTGTAGCTGCTAAGTGTAATGTCTGTGCTAGACAAAATGGGGGAAATTGCTGGCAGACTCAATCACTGCCATGTTTTTTTTTTTCCTCCTTCCCTTTAAACTGTATGGAAATGCTTTCCTTGGCTACTAAATGGCTACCAAACTCAAGAAACCCTACCAAACTCAAGAAACCCTACCAAACAGAGCTCCTCAGTAATATCTGGTTGTGGATGATAACTCTGTTATTATTCATAGCTTGTGTGTCAGTTAAGTGCCAGCCACAATGTCATGGTAGGAGCTTGGGTGGCACCACCTCCTTATTTATCTGGCAAAATGATAAGGGCTGCAGTGGGGGCTTGGTTTATCTTCTTCAAACCCCACAAGCCAACTGTCATCAGCAGGGTTTTGAGGCTGGAGGAAGAAAGAAGGGATGGGAGTCCTTAAACAGGGATGGCTGTTGTAGCTTCAACAACGTGAAACTCTGACAGACACGTAACAGATGCATGCAGTTATTACACATTCTGAAGCTTTTGGCAGAATTGCCCCAAATACACTGAGGTGGCATTTCATTAGAGTTGATATACAATTAGACCCCAGTGCAGAAATCTTTGGTGAGTCAATTGAAAAAATATAATTAAATTGGTCACTTCGTAAATAAATCCATTTTCTTACAAGAAATCGTATTCTTCCTTCTTTAAAGACTATTTATTTTGACTCTGCTCTTGAAATACTGGTTATTCTCAAAATAGAGAAACTACTCTGCCATGGATGGCATTCTTTTGCATACATTTCTCTGGTGAAAGAAGTTAGTGCTTCCACCCATTCTTGTGAGCTTCCTGGCTTCTGCCTGTCAGATTCACCGGCTGAATTGAATCTTGTGGGTTTTCTTGATTCAAGAGGAAGGAAATTGAAGTCCTGCCTGGGACATTTGAATTTGAAGGCTTCCTACTGACAGCCTTACTCAGCTGATGAAGCTGGGTTGTTTCAGAAACATCAATTTAAAGTGTATGCTGTTCAGCTTTTGCAGAAGAAAATATGGAATGACTACAAAGGGACATTGCCTGCTGTATGGGAAAAGTTGTGCTGTTGATAGAGGGCCATTTGATATGAAGATCATTTTGTTGTAGGTAAATAAATTAAGGATTTTGTGGGCTGATTTTTGATCTTGGAAGATAGGAAAAAGTAGCTGTTGTTTCACTAGAGAATTCATGCAAGGTTGGGTTTGAATCTCTATTTCATACAAAGTGGTTAATGAAAGTTTCTTCCATGGAGTAAATAATTGAAAAAAAAAAAAAAAAA